AATCTCTTGATTTCATTTCCTCCTTTCAATATTCAGTCTCCAGGTAAGATTACCTTTTACCCATCTCAGAATGATACATTTTCCAGGAATAAGAAGCTAGGAAGTTCTTGTTGATTTAATGGCTAAAAAGCAAATAACTACTAGCTTGTTCATGCCAAACATTTCTCATGTTTTCTTTTTATTGTACAGCAGCATCTCACTGGAGCAATTATGTAATTATGTGAGCCATTCACAAGAGTTTTGCAGGTACTTAGTCCAAAAGCAAACTTTAAATTACCTTTAATTACTTCCAGGAATGTCTCAGAAAAATTCAACTGCTGAGAATATGTGACCAAAGCATAAGATTATTTATGTATGCAGAGTACTTTCAGCCGACTTGTTGGAAAAAGTGTTTTATGTACCTGTCAACAGCAAAAGTCTTCCTTCATTATCATTTTAGAGACAAACATTAGGTTCTTACCAGCAGGGGCAAGACCAGGTCAGCAAAGTAAACAAAAGCTGCTCCAAGTGTGAATCCCACAGCCACTGGTACGAAGGCAAACGAGCCGTACTTCCCAGAATCCTCTGCCATGTCAATCGCTGGAGCCAGTAATGACCAGTAGGAAGCGGCCAACATTACCTAAATGTGAAAGAAAAGAGGAGAGAAATCAAATGTGGGGAAAAATATCATTTATTACTCTGGAGTTGGATGAAGAAGCACATTTTAAACTTCCCATCCAATGTGTATCATTTCTAAAAATGTCTTTTCTGCCTTTATCATTTGCTGCTTCATGGACCACCAGCACTGAACAACACAGGGGGTAATACAAAGGAACTCTTTTCTAAAAAGTTATAAACATTATATTACTGAATTAATCAACATATTCCTATTTATTTTATATGTTACAGACCATCTAAAATTGCTACTATGCTAATGCTGTTTCATATACTGATTCCCACATTCAAGGTCCTGTCTTGTAATACAGTTATAAAATGTGTTTAGAGCCATCCAGATATGTTTGGTTTGAACATAGATGTGTATATTAATAATTCATCTAAGGATATGGCAACTCTTTAAATGTGAAATGTATAAGACCAATTGGACATGGACAAAAATGTTCAGTATCTGGAAAAAAAAAAATCTAAGTATTTAGATCATTTTGAACAATACAAAAAACAAATGTATCCTTATTTATTGTTTGTTTTCTCTTTTTGAACTATGTTTTGCTCCATTTTCTTTTTACAAAACTTCTGATCAGCTGCAAAGGATGAAGAGCATGTAATACTTAAAAGCCAAGAAGTAATAAAGGTTCTACTTTTAGGTTCTCTTTTTAACATATGTGAACAAAAATGCTGTAGTGAACTTTATAATCTATGTATTTGAGATTGCTCTGCTCCTCTAACAGGAGCTTTCTTACACAATTTAACAGCAGGGAACATAGAAGACATTAGCAGCCAATCCTGCAAATGAAAAGCAATTTCAGCATATTGTTAGACTGCAACCAATATAGCGCTTAAACCCAATTTAACAAGCTAGCTTCGGGCAATCATTTGCTATAACAATGCCTAACTTGATTGGACATGGTTTAGTAGAATTCTGGGAACTGAAAACTGGTTTTACTCCAATCAGATTTGTGTCAAGCTGCCAAGAGTGGGCACCAATCAGATTCTTACAATGAGACGATGAGACTGGTTCACTTTCCAGGGCTGCCGGCCAGTTTCCATTTTTTCACATTGGAAAAGCCATGATGTTTTAATGATGGTAGAAACTAAAGGAAGGACTAATTCTGTTGTTTTGTATGGTGCATGTAAATAAAGGTTTGTCTTTGTGCTAAGAATAAGGATTATGTGTTGTTTTTTGTTTTTATTCCTAAGGGCCTTGGTTTTTAAAATGGTTTGAATCTTTGGTCTAGCTGTGATTATCTAAAGTCACTATAAGGAAGTTTGCTGAATAAATACAATATTCCAGAAATATCTGGATTTAGTCTATTTAGCGGAGAACTGAATTCTAAAGAAAGAAATAATAGGAATTCAATTAATGTTTATAATTGTGTTTTCCTATAGAGAACCATGTAGGAAATAAACTCAATGCTTTCTTGCAGTTTTATCCCCAGGGATGATAAGGATCTACTAATGACAAGTTCTTTTATGTCATTACCAGTTAATTGTATTAGACTCTGTTATGTGACTAAAATGTCTTTAAGTTAATTAAACTTTCAATAAGTTTTTATTTTGTAATCCATGACTTCCTATTTCTTCTCAGTATAAAATGAAAGGATACAGAGGCCTATTTATTTAAGCCACTAATTAAAATTTCCTACTTACTATTTCAATACTGAAATTTATTTTTGAAAAGCAAAGTTTGTGTAATGGGTTATAATTCATTTTCTTTAAGTGTCAAAGCCTCATCCTTCCTTTGTCATGGTGAATATTTTGTTATCGGGAACTTTTATTTTTTCCATCTCGCTCATTTATCATCTTTTTCTGACCTCTAATTTGAAAGAGGAAGCTAATATCCTGAATTTTAGTGCTTTTTCGAGTCAGGAGACTTGACCAAATTGCTTTACACTACATTCAGTCATTCAACCTTTCAGGCACACACTCACACACTGATGGTGGTAAACTACATGGTAGCCATATCTGCCCTGGGTCTCACTGACAGGGGCGAGGCTGCCTTACACCAGCACCATCAGGCCCTCTGACCATCATCAGTAGGCAATGCAGGTGAAATGTATTGCCCAAGGACACAACGACACTGAGAGGTGGAGCCGGTGCTTGAACCGTCATATTTCTAAGTAATAAGTGGATAAACTAAAGACATTATTCAAATGTCTGATATATTTATGTGTTATAAAGCAGTGAGAAAAGAAGCCCTAATCATACTTGTTGCTGGTTAAAAAAAAATTTATCCTAAAAATTGATTCATATACCGATTGTTTAAAAAAATATATTTTCCATTGTTCTTACAGCACCCATTAACTTCCATTGCGTTATTCATTACCTTTTCAAACTTACTATAATACGAGTTTAAATATGTTGCATAAATATACAGTCATGCCATTCAGGCAACAGGAAAATAATGTTCTAACTTCATTTTGAGATCAGAAAAAATCAGTTCAATAGAATTGGAATTGTTTTAATTTTTTCTTTAATTAACACCCAGCAAGTCACTAAGCAATGCCTGTTAAGTTGAACAAGTCCATCGATTTTCATTATAAAATTGGATGATTGTAAAAAAATAAAAATAAAAATGTGCCTCTATTAACAACAAACTAATTCAAGTCCGTTCCAAACTTTGCATCTTTTATTCCATAAAACAACAATAGGACAAACCTACATAGCAACTGGTCTAGTCCAAAACCTGCTGATGCATCACATCCCGTAAGACATCGTTATTTAGACTGAAGCTTTAGTGTTTGTCTGAAAGCATGTTTTAGACTTCAGTTGTTTTCAGAACTTGACCTCATAGCACTCAGATTACTCAGTCTAAAATCACAAACGGATTATTTTATCTTTAAATTCAGTCTTTGCAATACTTGTTTTTGTGCGTCTGCAAATCTGCTCTCCAATTTGCAGTTTATTATGCCCTTCTGTTCCAGTTAAGGCATGAAGGGCTGCATTTTAATGGAGGGGGTAGCATGTGTCTGTTTGTATGGCTTTTTAATGTTGGAGACTCATTTTTTGGGAATAGATAGATTCATTTGTTTCAAAAATATACCCTTCTTGAATTTCAATTATTCTTATTTACAAGCCTTGTTTAACATCCTTTGCAGCTAACAAACTACAGGCCCTTTTCAAAGTATGAAATTTCATTAAACAGTCTCTTAAGAAAAACTTAAAATCTCCATTTACGTCCAACTTTTCTCCTTTAGTTTTTACAACTGGCCAAATAATGGGGGTGCCTGCTCTTAAAAAATATAACATTCTACCAATGCATTATTAATAACTACTGGCTATAGTGTTTTAATATAAATGTATTGCTACAAGTGTTGTATTAAAGCCTGTTCTAGAGTTGAAATGAGAATATAGCTGCGTCTATTATATTTGGATATGCTGACATTTTCCAGGTGCGGGATGTAATAAGCACCGTCTGAGTTTCTCTGCCTAAAATTAGCATTAGTATTCAACAGCATATCTATGACAAATGCAATGTGTAATGGAGGAATGCAAAGTTGCACGAGTCTGAGAGAAAAAATCCAAGATTATGTCTGATGAATTGGTTACCGGCATGAACATAGCAGCTAAATTATCTACAGTCATGAGCGTGAGATTTTAGACAGAGAAATCTTACTCTTAGAACCTGTATTTTTGCTTTAAAGGGGAAAACTTTACTTTTATGAGACATGATCAGATTAAATGCAATCGATTAAAAAGGCAGTGAAAGTTGGCAAAAATGTAAAACTATCATTTGCACTCTGTTTAAAGTTTAGACGCCCCCTAAACATAGAGCAGGTGGTATGTGACATAAGACCCACAAAAGAATAGAACCTGTTTCTGAACTGGAGAGCTCCATGAGTGAAAAAATGCTGCATCCAAGAAGCAAAGAACAGTTTAATCACAGATCATTCTGCCCAGTAGGTATTAGACCTAATATCCATCACTGCTCCTCCAATTTTTGGTTTTCAGTTGCCAGACTTTGAAGCACACATAATTTGTTGTAATATTCTATATATTGATTTTAAAAAAAGTATTTTGTGTTGCATTCACTGTATTGCAAATTCTGCTCAGATTTATTTCTAGGAACCGCGGTGGGTGAGGACGAGTTTTATATATATATATATATATATATATATATATATATATATATATATATATATAAAACTGTATATGTAATTTTGAATTTCATAAGGGTGTACTGTACATCATCTATATAGGTATCAGAAAATGTTCTGATTAAGCACATTTGTATCCGTCTGATCCGTGAATCTGGGCAGATATTAGCAACCATGTATATTTCAATGAAGCCCTTTTTTTTTTTTTTTTTTTTAAGGGGGTGAGAAGAGGATCAGTCATGTGAAACCAATTGTGACGCAGCAAAAGATTGCAGGTGTTTATCTGACGGACAGAGGGAATCTCAAGACTATTGTTGCTTCTTAATGGTGTGCAAAAAGGAAGCAAATATATATTATTGTTAAATACTGATTATCAACTATAACAGAAATATCAGTAAATATCAATATTGGCCTATATTTTCATATTGATAACTACCTAATTTTCAGTGTAGAAGCTTTTTATGTAGTGATGTCTGAAACTATATGCTTCCATTTGTCTGTATGATTTGCCAATGACACCTGGATGCCTCACTGTGAGACAATAAAAGGGATTATTTTTTTGTAACACAAAGCATGACAGTAAAACGGTGAACTATTATGTTTTAGAGAATGTGAAGAAAATAAAACAAACCATTAGAAATTACCTCTTAAGCTGGTGGAACCTAATATTCAGAAAATAAAAGGCAACAATCACTCCCAGCTGGGTTTAGTAGAAAAAGTAAGAATTTCCCCAGGGGATGTGAAGACCTCTACAGGCACTGGACTCAAGGTATTTCTATCCCTGTTTGTCGCCTTTCATTCTATTTTCTCTTTTCGGAGCTAATGCTAATGATGTCCCTCTGTGTTCATTTGAAACGGGGGGTTTTGA